ACATCATATATATATATATATATTTGTGGAAGTAAGAGACAGAATCCTAAGGAAATCCGATATGGTTTTAAGACAAAATCTGATGCAATTTAAGAAAAACATCTATGATTTTAGTGGATCTATATTGCAGCAGATCATAGTTTTCTTAAACAGTTATATCATTTTTTAAGGTGTAATAACATTCGATGAATGCAATTCAATATTAATTTACACTTATGGATAGTTTAGTTTTTATTTATTCAACTCCTATTTCTTCTTTGACCTCTATTATTGCTCTGTAGACTTCATCTCATTCATCAACCTGATCTCTTTGAAACATGTGAAATGAGAGGTAATTTTTTTGCCTCCTTTTTTAGTAGAAGGTCGTCTAAAGTGGAAAAAGAACCAAATGTACTAAAATATTATCTTTTAAAATAAAAATTAAGTAATTTAAAATAATATACTGTTTACTCTATTTCAATAGTTAAAGAGGATTTCATTTTCAATCAGTTGCTCCAAGCATTTTTCTACTTTCAGCTTCTTAGGCCATAGCCAACGGCTCGTGGGTCTTGGCATGAGGAGATGAACCCATGAATTTCGACAGAGCTGAAATTTAAGTTTCGATGGAAACTATACTTTAGCCCCATAAAGGAAATCACCATTAACAACCTCGAACATTCTTCTTTCTTCTCCTCAGTTAACTGATGCAGGACCAACATAAGCGGTTGGAGCTGAAATTGTAAGAAGCGCCTAGAAATGGAGATTCTCTTTTCAAAATTCAAGTTGCCAGAGAACATGAAGATGGACCAGGTGAAGGCTTCAATGGAGAGCAGGGTGCTAACTGTGACGGTACCTAAAGCGGAGGTGAAGAAACCTGATTTTAAGGCCATTGAGATTTCTGGATGAGTGTTTCAATTTCACGAAAGACTTTGTTGACATCTCTCAACGTAGGACCATTAATGTGTATGGAAAGTGAGTGAACTCTGTGTTTTGTATGTGAAGCATTTGATGAAATGTCACTGCACATGATGTGCGTTCGTGATTTGGTAATGTTAACGTAAACGTGATATTCTAATAATAAAAAACTACCTTGTATTGCAAACTTCGTCTTGGTCATTCTGAATGACACTTTGTGCCATTATCTGTAAGATGTTTGATGAAATATTGGACTATGTAACTTTGTGCCATTATCTGTAAAATGATTGATGAAATATTGGACTATGTAATGTCTGGATTTTATGTAGAGTCGATTCTGTAATGGTTTTCTTTATGATCCATCAAACGCTTATTTCTTAGGCTTGAAAAGTTAACACATTCTCTTCGATTGTCGTTTCTAACAGAGGTTACTGCTTTACCCTTCATTTTTTTAAGGTAAAGCCAGAGGAGGTTTTGATGTGCATTCATTTCTATGGAAACCAGGTACTAATCATTTTCCTCTGGTTTGCTCTGCTTTTCTGTTTAACTGAACATTCAGCACTTTAACGTGCTCCTTCTGCTTGAAGTATGCAGATGTGTAATGAGAGGATAATATCATACAAATTGATGTCATAGATGACTCAAAAAATCATAATCGCTGACTGAATTAATGTGATGATACCAAAGAATTTAATCATCAAGCTGATTCTGTGTTGCCATCATCTAAGACAACTCTTCTTGGTATAGACTTCATTCTTGCCATCATAAAGGCTATAAAATCCTGATTAAAGGCATGGATTAGATTAGTCATTTACTATAGACAGAGATGAGGTAAGTTTAGAATAACTGCTCGTCTTTATTGAAATGAATATGAGCAGAAGGAACAGTTGTGGCTGTCCGAGTTCTAATTTCTATTTCTTTGCAATGATAATTGCTTGTTCTGGATTTAATGTCCTTGTACACCTTTGGATTCAATCATATAATGTACCCCATTACACTAAGGCTTTTGGGCTTGTTGGTACTTCTTGCTCACCACTTTGGGGATTGAGGTCATGGCGTGGGTTTCAAATCATGAAATCTGAAAGAGAGTTGTCTCTTGATTAAAAAAAATGGTATTGTTGTATACTAAAAATTGATTTACTGCAGACTGCTTTAAGAAAGAGATTTTATCTTCATTATAGCATCTTTAATCTTTTCTTTCAGGTTTTTGGGAGTTGGGTTATTATTAGTCTAGTTATTTGTATTATAGGTAAAGTATCACTATGATTTCTTTTTTCTGTTTGAAAAATGGAAACTCAGCTATTATGAAATACACGAAACTATTGCACTGAGGCTTAAAAGCCCACTTCCAAGCATTTAAAAAACTTAGTTGTGACAACCCAAACGTTTGCATTCCTTGAGAAGGGAATTTTGCTGTGACTAAGAGAAACTAAGAGGACATAATAAACTCTACCAACTCATTCAAGGAATTGCATGAAGGACCACCATCGTCAATGCTAGCTTCAACCACATGTTTTAAACCCCTTGCTCTCTTTCTCATCTCTTTCCCTTCTTCTTCAACCATTAGTCTCAGAACAATTTTCTCTATTTCACCTCGCTCCAACTCATTCTCGTACTGCCAACCTACTCTCCATACTTGGCTAACATACCTTGCAGTCACATTTTGATCCCCAAAACATGGTCTGCATATCATTGGAACCCCTTCACATATACTTTCCAGTGTTGAATTCCATCCGCAATGGGTCCAAAACCCTCCTACTGCATCATGTGCCAACACTTGTCTCTGGGGTGCCAATCTCATAATGCAGCCTCTTTCTCCAACTGAATTTTTGAAATCCTTAGTGAATGACTCTATCCATTCTGGGGATATTTTCTGGCTGGATCGTATCACCCACACGAAAGGCTGCTTACTATTGGCCTGTCCCCAGGCCATCTCTTCTAACTCCTTAGCATCCATGGATGCTATGCTCCCCAAGCTTATGTATGTGACAGAATTTCGAGCTTGCTTGTCGAGCCATGCTATGCAGCTGGTGTCCTCTTCTAGTATGCTGCTGGTGGAGTTTGGAGCAAGTTTATGCATAGGGCCAACTGGGAAGATTGGAAGCTGTTTTTGGTGCTGAATAATCGCTAGTGATGACTGTTCAAGACAATCTACAGTGTTAAATATTATTGCTGAGCTTTTTTCTGTATTGAACAAGTTGGCCATCAGTCGCAAGTTCTGTTCTTCTGACCCAAATTTTGTAATGGGTAGATCTTTGAACCTCAAAGGATAGTGTTCAGGCACTGGATCCTGCAAAATAGAGTCTGTAGTCCAGAGTTAGGTTTCCAATTACAAATTCCAATATCTGTTGTAATTGGTCATACAAACAAGAGTCTCTAAGTTGGCCCCGATCAACATGTTTCACATATTATTAGAAGCAAAAGAAATATCTAATCTCTAAGGGTACATGTTCTACTATCAAGAAAGGCACAAAATATTAAAATACCTGGTAAAGGAAGGCAACCTTGTAAATGCAGGTTGGGAATGAGAGCACGAACAAGAAAAGTGGTGGCACTACAAGTTCGAAACATGATGCTAGGAAGCTTGAAATGATTAGCGACCGCAGGACAGAAATACATGACTTCGTCATATATGATGCAGGAAAATTGAGGATGAGAAGGGTCCTGGTGACTTATCATCTGGGCCAAGAATTTCTGAAGGGTTCTTGACATTTGGCATTAAAAAGCAGAGCAAGACCTATCATATTTTTCTGGAGAAGTCTGTTGCTCAAGAAAGGTATCTGGTATGGAGATGAAGTCAAAGGCGGGGTGGGTTAATGGGTTAGGAGGGTTGAATTGAGAGTGTGCAACGGTGATGGAGAAGCCTTTTGAGTGAAGAACAGAACCTAGCTGAAGCATTTTATTTATGTGACCTTGAAATGGGCATGGCACAAGCAACAGCCGACCACCTTTCTGTCCTTGTTTCTCCATCTCTCTCTCTTTTTATATATGTGATTTCAATTTAGGTTGCTGCTACTGCATTGAGTTATCTTGTTTCATGTTTATGTCATATATATATGTGTGTGTGGAAGTTAGAGATAGAATCCATAAGAAAATCCGATACGGTTTTAAGACAAAATCTGATGGGATTTAAGGAGAAAATCTACAATTTTAGTGGATATGTATTGCAGCCTTATTAGATCATGATTTTCCTAAACAGTTACATTATTCGCAGCACATAGCTTTTAAGGTGTAATAACATTAGATAGATGCAATTTAATATTAATTTACGTTTGTGGCTAGTTAACATTTATTCTACTGCCATTTCTTCTTTGACCTCTATTGTTGCTCTGTAGACTTTATCTCATTTGTCAACCTGATATCTTTGAAACCAACGCAACAGTGTCTTTGATCCCTTTTCCCTCGACATATGGGATCCATTCAGGGACTTCCCTTTCCTTCTTCATCTCTTTCTTGCGAAAATTCCGCATTCCTGAGCACACATGTGGACTGGAAGAAGATGCTGGAGGTGCACGTATCCAGAGCTGATCTCCCCAGAATGAAGAAAGAGGAAATGAAAGTAAGATCAGCAGCAAGAGACATGTGGAGAAGGAGGACAAGAGCGACACTCGGCACTGCATTGAGTGCAGCAGCAGCAAGTTCTCAAGGAGGTTCAGGTTGCCAGAGGTGAAGAGACCTGATGTTATGGCCATTGGGATTTCTGGCCGAGTGTTTCAATTTAATGAAAGGCTTTGTTGATATCTCACGATATGTGAGGGTTAATGTGTATGGAAAGTGAGTAGACTTTGTGTTTTGTATGTGAAGTGTTTGATGAAATGTCAGTGCGTGTGATGTTGTAATGCTAACGTAAACATAATATTCTAATGATACAATACCTTATATTGTAGACTTTGTTTTGGTCATTTTGAATGACACTTTGTGCTATTGTCTGTAAACTTTTCAATGAAGTTTGGACTAGGTAATGTCTGGATTTTATGTAGAGTTGATGCTCCAATGGTATTTTTTATGATCCATCAAATGCTTATTTCTTAGGGTTGAAAGTTAATGCGTCCTCTTCCATTGTCGTTTCCTAGAGAGGTAATTGCTCTGCTCTTATTTTTTTTAAGGTAGAGCCGGAGTAGAGCCTGTGGAGGTTTGATGTGTGGTCATTTCTATGGAAATCAGGTACTATTCATTTTCCTGTGGTTTGCTCTGCTTTTCTGTTTAACCAAACATTCAGCACTTTGACGTGCTCCTTTTGCTTGAAGTATGCAGATGGCTAAGGAGAGTGTAATATCGCACAAATTGAATTTCAGAGATGATCAAGAAATCATAATCATGCGATTGAATTAACGTGATGAGACCAAAGAATTCAGCATCAGGCTGATTCTGTGTTGCCGTCATCTAAGACAACTTTTTTGGTATGGACTTCTTTCTTGCCATCATGAAGGTTATAAAATCCTGATTAAAGGCACGAATTAGATTAGTCATTTAGTATAGACAGAGATGAGGTAAGTTCAGGCGCAACTGCTTGTATTTATTGAAATGAATATGAGCAAAAGGAATGGGGTGTCCGAGTTCTAATTTCTATTTCTTTACACATGATAATTATTTGTTCTGGATTCAATCTCCTTGTACACCTTTGGATTCAATTATATAATTTACCCGCATCCTAAGACTTTTTGGCTGCTTTGTACTCCTTGCTCGCAACTTTGGGCGATTGTGGTTATGGCATCAGCTTCAAATCATGTAATCTGAAAGAGTATTGGTCCTTGACTAAAAAGAATAATAATGTTGTATACGAAAATTTGGCTTACTGCAGACTGCTTTAGGAAAGAGATTTAATCTTCATTGGAGTGTCTTTCCTGTTTCCTTTCAGGTTTTGTCAGTCAAATTATTATTAGTTTAGGTATTTGATTTATAGTAAGAGTATTACTATGACGTTTTTTTTTTTAATAACAGAAATTCAGAAATTCAGCTATTATGAAGTACACAGAACTATTGCACTGAGGTTTACATTCAAGCATTTGAAAAACCTAGACTGTAACAATCAAATGTTTTGCATTCCTTGAGAAGGATTTTTACTGTGACCGAGAGAAACCTAAGAGGACATAATAAACTCTACTAACTCAAACAAGGAATTACATGAAGGACCATCATTGTTAATGCTAGCTTCAACCATGTGTTTCAAAGCCCTTGCCCTCTTTCTCATCTCCTTCCCTTCTTCTTCAACCATTAGTCTCAGAACAATTTTCTCTATTTCACCTCGCTCCAACTCATTCTCGTACTGCCAACCTACTCTCCATACTTGGCTAACATACCTTGCAGTCACATTTTGATCCCCAAAACATGGTCTGCATATCATTGGAACCCCTTCACATATGCTTTCCAGTGTTGAATTCCATCCGCAATGGGTCCAAAACCCTCCTACTGCATCATGTGCCAACACTT